CAACTACTCCAAGGACGTGCTGAAGTGGTATGCGGACAATAAGGTCAATTTCGTGCCGAAAATGTTCAACCCTCTCAACACTCCGGAGCTCCGCTCCATCGAGAAGTACTGGGCGATTATGAAGCAGCACCTTCTTAAACGACCTAAGGTAGTGAAGACAGTCGAGGAACTGAAGAAAGTATGGGTTTACATGCAAAAAACGGTTGATTCACAGGTTGTGCAGAATCTTATGGCCGGGGTTAAGGCCAAGGTGCGGGCATTTGCAAATGCTTCCTGATTCTAAATTCGTTCTACGAGTTTCAATTCCGTCCTCTAACGCATTGAAACGCCATTGGTTTTTCTTCGTTCTACGAATGAACGCAGAAAAAAAATGATTTTCTAGGAGTGCTTCTTTTGTTCTGACAACAATGAGAGTTAATATTCATGCAACGCACTCGTATAGCCTTTGTTTTTTTTTTTTGGCTATGAGCTAAGACACCGAAACATACATTTGTGCACGGAAAATCATTTTGATGTTTTCTGTTCGACAGAAGTGCCACTTCATTGGCCACCCTGTTTCCTTAATTGTTGACGGCCCCTTAGAGCGATTCCAGGACTTGCTTTTGAAAAAAAAGCTCGTGCGATATGATTTTTTATTATCTAAGAAAATTGTTGGTTAATGTATTCATTAGGGTCGATAGGTAGGGTCCAGGTGTGGGAGCTGCCTCCCTTGCGTCGGTAGCATTGGTGCTCAGCACGGAAAACAAGATCGGTGGAAAACAAATCAAGGGAAAAAAAAGTTGGAAGGGTTGTATACTAGATACGACCGCAGGGTTGGCGTTGGATAACGTTTGTTTTGTGTTGTACTTAATTGTGTATATTATATTTTAGGAATATTCCTTAATAACTCTTTTGCGAAAGTTTGGTGGCCCTGAAAAGGACCGTTTTATTGGGCTGATGTTGTTGACAATGATGGAACGGGCGACCTTGTTGGACGCTTATATAGTAGAACAGAAAATATCAGAGGTGTCAGATACTCGCATACGTACGTTAAACTCTTTCTTGATAATGTTGTGGCCCTGAAAAGGGCCATTTTTCCAACGCGCTCGGCGTAGTTGCCCTTGCGGAGCAGACGGTGAATACGACCGACTGAGAACTGCAGCAGCTGGGCATTCCATGACGGCGGCCCAGTATACCGGAGCACTGGCACCAACGCACTCGGCGTAGTTGCCCTTTCGCCCCCAGGCTCTGCTGCCGCTGCTCTGCTGCCGCTGCTCTGCTGCCGTTGCTCTGCTTCCGCTGCTCTGGGACTGCTGCTCTGCTGCTGGGTCGACGATCGGATAGACAATGATGGAACGGGCGACCTTGTTGGACGCTTATATAGTAGAACAGAAAATATCAGAGGTGTCAGATACTCGCATCTGATGTCTCGGTTGGAGAAAGTATAAGAATATAAAAAAATCAATCGATTTTCACCATCTTTAGACAATGGTTTACTTTTAACCATTTTTCAATAGTTTACAGAATGAAATCAATAGTTTTGAAACATTCAGCAAATTGCTAGAAACATTTCCAATCGATTGATGCCATTATCTCGTAAATCTATCGAGAGACGGTTGAGTTATTATCGTTCAAAATCTTTTAATTTTTCGTAACGCATCCAAAATGACTGTTTTCAATTTTGTACCCCCTTATGTTGCCGAAAGACGTTATCCAACGTCAAAAACCCTTTTTTGTTCCATTCGGGGTCCCATACAACTGTGCAAAATTTGCAAATTGGTATGGAAATTAGTGTGAGAAAATCTACGCTTTTGCATTTTCATTCCTTGAGATCACAATTTTGCTTGAACCATGTTCAAATGTATGGTCCAGGAAGTGCCTAACAACTTTGCCGAAGGAAGTAAAGGGTGTCCACAGGTAAATTGCATCACATCCAAAAAGCAAGTATATTTTGCCCTTTGTGTTATTTTTAATGAAATTTTAGGTGAGATGGCCTCAGCGTGTATTATTTACACTGCGTGAGCTTCATTGTAAAATTTCTAGTAGTTTTGAAAATATGGTCGATGGAACAGCGCGTGCGCGAGAAAATACACCCTCATCTCAACAACCCACATCTTTCGCACCGAGCCATCGGATAGATGTTGGGAAGCCAACTATCTACTGTTTCTCGTGCCATAAAACGTTTCGGAGAATGTTTAACTGTCAGTTTAAGCAAGTGAGTGCAAGAAAAAGTGTTCCGTACTACGTTGAAGATCACAAGCGTGTGCTTGCTGCCTTCAAACGTAAACCCAACTATTTCGTTCAGGATGTCGCGAAAAAATCTGCCCCTGACAAAAAGTTTCGTGCGGAAAGCCAAGTAACGAACAGGACTACGTTCCTTTAAGGTTCAGAAAGCACCAAACCGCAATGAACGATAGAATAGGACAGCTAGAACGCGGGCACGTAGGTTGTACACACAACTGTTGACAAAACCACACTGCTGTATCATGGACGATGAAACATACATAAAAGCGGATTTCAAACAAATTCTGGGAAACCAGTATGTGACTGCGAAAGACAAGTTCGATGTTTCAGAGTCCCTCAGGAAACAGCAATTGTCGAAGTTCTCCAACGACCAAGTCTACATGAATGAGTGCCTGGACAAACGAGTGCTTCCGTCCCTCAAATCACACAACGTTCCTACAATTTTTTGGCCGGATTTAGCCTACGACTCCAAGGACATTCTACAGTGATACAAGACGAATGGGGTCAATTTAGTGCCGAAGGATATCAATCCCCTAATGAATGAATGAAGCACGAACTCCGTAAGCATCTCAAAGTTGTTACTAAGGAGCAGGAAATGTTGAAATCATAGATGAAAGCAGAAGAAAATGTCGATTCTACCGTTGTACAAAACCTTATTAGAGGAATTAAGAAGAGTCTGGGCATTTGAATTTGGTGAAGAAATAGAGTGAAATAAAGATACGTAAACCAAGCTTATAGGGTAGAGAACTACATCGGCCTAATCGCCCATTTTGGGCCTATCGAGCTGAAAACATCACATAAATCCATTGTTTCAGAGTTAACAAGTCAATTATGCATTTGGTACGCTTACTTTAGTTCAAAAGCTACCGAACGGAATCAATGAGAGCGCGTGATATGAATGTTTAAACCAATTTTTCTCAAAAACACCTCCGACCGAATCAATTTTTATCTTCATCCGATAGGCCGAAGGGAATTCAACGGCGTTTGAATGCGTTTCAATGCGTTAGGCCGAATTTAGAATCCGTAGGCCGAGTTTGGCGTCAAGAAGCAATGTTAGACTTTTAACAATATCTCAACAATTTGTTTCTCCTTATCAAATCTTACGGTACATACGGAAAGGTAAATAAATTTGGAAGCCATCAGTAATAATAACATTCTGTTTGGTGCTAAACTACGCTAGAATAAGAAAGACTAAGTACGGGTGGTGCTTAATAGGTCGGGAATGGATTAGTTAACCCTATATAGTATTACATTCCCTGAAAATGTCATGACAATCGGTTGAGAGACTTATGTTTGGCGAGTACTTCTGAGTGATGCAATTTAACTGTGGACACCCTTTACGTTGCTTACAGTGTCTCTAAAAAAAGTTTTAACTGTTAAAATATGTATGGTTTGATGACAAAAATCACTTTATCTTCCAACACTGCCGATGTACCAATGAAAGTCAGATCCAAACTGAAATAATGTCGGTATTTTTATCTTATCGATTTGGTATGTTCAGATGTGTTCAGATGAATTATTCAAAAATAATTGCTCTCGGCTAGGCACTTCCTGGACTATACTTTGACATGTATGCTTCAAGCGAAATTATTGTCACTAGGAATGAAAATGCAAAAAAGTAGGTTTTCCCATACTAATTTCCATACAAATTTAAAACGCAATGCGGAGAGCCGACCCGGCAACCAATCTTCCTTAAATTTTGCACAGTTGTTTGGAACCCCAAATGGAACCAAAACAACATTGTTCTGGAAAAATGATAGTATCTATATTACACGATGACGACGATGAAATTAACTCACAGACTGATTAAAGCTGTGTTGCTATCTCTTTTTTCAGCACACAAATTTTACTCACTGAGTTAATCCAGTCCACTTTTTTACGGATGGTGAGTAAAATTTGCGTGCGAAAAAAAAGACAGCAATACATTTTTACTCAGTCTGAGTTACTTTCATCGTCCGTGTACCACATGATTGTGATGATGACTTTCGGTTTTTAAAAAATAGTTTAAAATTCATTATAATGTAAGTATTATTGGCCGGGAATAATAAAATAGCTGGCCACAAAGTGAACAACCCAAGTGACCTAATTAGTAATTTGGATCGAACTGCACCGTTCGCTACAACTGTAGAAAGGCAATCAAATTATTAACCTTTCAACGAATTACATGGCTGAAATTTTACCATGTTATCATGTGTCTATCAGGACTAATTTGAAACTGGCAATTGAGCATGCTTACCCGTATGTTCCGATTAAAATTCCACACTCCACTCAGTGGATCGTTCATGATGATCCGCATCTCAAAACTCTTACTGACTCACGTCACGATTTCCGATAATGTCTGTCAAAGCTTATCTGCACCGAAAAAACTTTTGCGTCAACGTATTACTAATCACAACAACGACCAAACTCAATTCGTAATGTGGTGGTAACCATGACCCGTCCATCAACCCGGAGTGATTCGGTCAATTTCCAGTAGTCTTTAACACACAGTTACAACTTCGTAACTATGAGTCTGTGTCTAGGGGGGTATTTGCTTATCGCACTTCTATGGATGACGACGCTTCGGTGACTGCCTTGATAAACATTTATCGTTCTAATGTGACGCACGAATAAGCAATGCCCCCCCCCCCCTTATATTTCCTTTCGCTTCAATAAAGCGTTCCAGATTATGTACGTGAATTGCACCCAATTTACTACGCAGTCATTTTCTGATAAAAATCCAAGTTATCAGCAAAAACGAAAAAATAATTTCATATTTATCTTCCGTTCACTTCCAGATACTGGATTGGCCCAATTGGCAAAGCCATCGGAATCAAAAGCACAGGTCCCAAACCTCCCATACCAAATATAGAGCTGGAATCAGCGTACATTGCCAGCAGTCGACTGAACCACAGAACTGTGAGTATAAAACAACAAAAGTTGCGGCGAAGAAATTCCAATGCACCACGATTGCAGACCAACAGATAGCTTGATGGAAAGCGGCGGTCGGTTTGAGACTGTGTCCACAGGGACAGGTTCAAAAAGAAAAAAAAAACAATGTGGGATCACCGAAATTCGGAATGTGAGCGATAATGAAAACCTATATAGCCCAGCCGACCTTGGTCCCAGCACGAGTGCGTTTAGACGGTTGTAATGTAGGTAAACCTACTCTCTGTTGATGCGTAGCTACCGGAAGCGATTGGATGAGCTGTTTTAAAACTTTCGGAAATGAGCAAAAAATAAATTGATAATCCAACACGAAATGAATCACGAGAGTGAGCTCATGTTCTCCAGCCTTTGCATAGAATTCCACTATTATCGTGAAACCACGTATGAGCCGGCTTATGTCGCGTAGGCACGAAATACTCTAATTAAACTGTCTTCCGATTAACGTGCACTGATAGAGAGTGGCTCCTATGTATGCGGGCAAATTTATATGATGTCCATTAGAGCGCCCAATCCGCTGCTGATAATGATTTACAGGCACGCTAATTCTTCCCTCAACCCACGACGCAAAGTTTGCGTTGGAACTTGGCCAAAATATTGCAGTACACAGAGTCATCATATGGGTAGCACTTAGCGAGGGAACGTGTGTGTCAGACTTTGTGTCTGAAACGTGTGCTTACGCGCTACATGGCCTGTAAGGTTCCTTACTACTAATCATCAAGCCAGTGCATTCTACTAACTACCTGATGTAGTGCATTTTACTTGCGTCATCCAGTCGGTTCTATTTTCAGTCAATGCCACTTAACCGGTATTGTGTTTTTATTTATCATCGTTCACTAGAAGGTGATGAAGCATTCAAATTTGAAGCGCCGATAATAACCAAAAAGTGATAGAGATCTGTGAATTGATTGTCATTTACCGAAATAGGTTATTTGTTGTAAATTCAAATCATTTTACATTCATGTTTGGCTGTCATGGATCACTGCTACGACATTTTAGTTTTGACCGAAACATGGCTCAATTATCGAACCATTTCAAACTATGTCTTTGGTGCTGGCTACGAAATATTTCGCTGCGATCGAAACACGAATAATAGTAGGAAAACTACTGGGGGAGGCGTCCTTATCGCAGTTAATTCCAAGCTGAAAGCAGAAGTTATCGAGGACGATTCCTGGAACAGGGTTGAACAAATGTGGGTGGCTATTCAACTTGGTGATCGTCAATTGCTTCTCTGTGCAGTGTACATTCCTCCAGATCGAACCCGTGACTTGGAGCTTATTGACGCACATTGTCGATCCGTCTTGGCCGCTTCAGACAAAGCAGGCCCTTCCGACGAAGTTATTGTTCTTGGCGATTTTAACCTACCGGACATTGCATGGACTCCAACCCATAGTGGTTTCTTTTGTCCTGATCACGAGCGTTCATCTTTCCACGTAGGAACCATCCAGCTCCTGGACAGTTATAGTACCGCAATTCTGTCACAAATCAATGGCCTGTTGAATGAAAACAACCGCACCCTGGATCTCTGCTTTGTGAGTGCTCGTGATACAGCTTCTTTCCTCTCCACGGCACCCGAACCTTTAGTCAAGGTAGTGCATCATCACCCTGCTTTAGTTATCGTGATCGAAAATAATATTGTCCATGATTTCACCAGCACTCCAAACGCTGTGTCATATGACTTCCGTAGAGCTGACCATTGCAGTATCGTCCATGTGCTGTCTAATCTAGATTGGGAGCATATTCTAGATCCTGTAGACGTCAACATTGCTGCACAAACCTTTTCTAACGTCTTGGCATATGTCATTGACAGACACGTTTCCAAAAAGATCATCCATATCGACTCTCGCGTCCCGTGGATGACGAAAGATCTTCGCTCGTTGAAAAGAACTAAGAAGGCTGCTCTCAGAAGATTTACTAAACTCCGCACACTGCCACTGAAATGCTACTATGTCAGACTCAACCACGAGTATAAGCGGTTAAGTCGTCTCTGTTTTCAACGCTATCAAAGGAGGATTCAACGGCGGCTAAAATCACACCCGAAATCCTTCTGGAACTTCGTAAATGAGCAACGCAGGGAAGTCGGCTTACCCTCTTCCATGATTTTTAATGGTGAAACTGCTGGAAATCAACAAGACATTTGCAACCTGTTCTCAGCCAAATTTGCTAGTGTGTTTGTAGCCGAGCAACTCTCCGCTAATATCATTACTTCCGCGGCCAGTAATGTTCCTTTGATCAACCAAACGCTCAGCATGGTCGAAGCCACTACAGATACGATTTCTAGAGCAGCATCTAAACTTAAGACTTCAACTAAGGCTGGACCCGATGGTGTTCCGTCGATTATTCTTAAAAAGAACATCACTTGTCTTTTAGATCCACTGCGCCGCATATTCCAGCTCTCTCTTTCCAGCGGCATCTTTCCGTCTTGCTGGAAGACTGCGGATATGTTTCCTGTTCATAAAAAGGGAAGCAAACGCGACGTAAACAACTACCGGGGAATCACATCGCTGAGTGCTGTATCAAAACTTTTTGAATTGGTTGTCATAGAGTCCCTAAATGCGCATTGCAGGCAATATCTAAGTACAGATCAACACGGATTCATAACTGGGCGTTCCACAACTACGAACCTGCTGTGCCTAACGTCTTACATCACAGACAGTTTGATTGCTCGGACCCAAACGGACGTTATCTACACAGATCTTACGGCAGCCTTCGATAAGCTGAACCACGAAATTGCGATCGCTAAGCTTGATAGGCTAGAGATCGGTGGAAATCTTTTGAGATGGTTTCGTTCATACCTCACGGAGCGCCAATTGACAGTAACTTTGGGTACTTGTCGCTCAGCAAGCTTCTGCGCAAAGTCCGGTATACCTCAGGGCAGCCATCTGGGACCATTGGTATTTCTCCTCTACTTCGACGACGTTCACCATGTTATCACAGAGCCACGATTATCGTTTGCAGACGATCTGAAAGTTTTTCTGCGCATCCGCTCACTCGCCGACTGCCGTTCTCTCCAAAATCAGATTGACATCTTTGCTGACTGGTGTAGTCTAAACCGACTGGTGGTCAACCCAGCTAAGTGTACAGTTATTACTTTCTCACGCAAGAAACAACCGATTATTTTCAACTACAAACTACTAGGCACGACTATCGAACGGGTGCACTGCGTGAAAGACTTAGGCGTTTTTCTAGACTCAAAGCTGACATACTCACACCATATATCGTATGTCGTCGACAAAGCGTCCAGAACGCTTGGATTTGTCTTCAAGATTACTAAGAACTTCACGGACATTTACTGCTTGAAATCGCTCTATTGCTCTCTCGTACGATCTACGTTGGAATACTGCTCTGCTGTCTGGAGCCCGAACTACAATAATGGGGCCGAGCGAATTGAATCTGTTCAACGACGTTTTCTTCGCTTCGCGCTCCGTAAGCTTCCAAGCTACGAGAATCGCTGCCAATTGATCAATATCGAGCCCTTACGTATCCGAAGAGATGTTTTCAGAGCCTTAACCGTCGCCGATACTCTGCAAGGAAGAATTGACTGCGAAGCAATTCTGCAACAAGTGAACATTAATGTTCAACCTCGATCACTACGCAACAGTCTTATGCTGAGACTTCCACTTCTTCGAACTAATTATAGCATAGGGAGCGCTATTTACGGCTTGCAGCTAGTGTTCAACCGAGTAGCGTCGATGTTCGATTTCCACTTGACACGGAATATGCTTCGCCGAAGATTCTCTGCCTTTTTTGCTGACCGAAGGCGCTTGATACCCAACAGCTAAGTGGGACTTATAAATTTTTAGTAACTTGACAATGCTTTCCAAGTTATTTTCGTTTGTAACTGTAGTATATGTATGTCGTCTGTATAATCTGTACTTTTTTACAACACATCATTGGGACTATTTCTAGTCTGTTGATGCAACCATAACAAATAAACAAATAAACCTAGGTGCTGCTGTTAGGGTCTGGTAGGCAGGAGTATAACCTTAACAATTGTATGTTCTATATATGCCAAATACTGGCTATTTATAGGAGTTTCTACATCGTGTTGCAAGTTCATATTATTGCCTTCATACGCCAAAAGTTGTTTAAACAGGGCTGGTAGCGAGTCACTTTTTAGTGACTTGGTCACTTTTTTCAAGCCAGTCACTAAAAAGTCTCTTTTTTAAGGCCAAGTCACTAAAGTCACTTTTTCTTGTAATCAGTCACTATTTTCAACTTTTTTTAGCGTGAATTTATTTTAAGATTGATCATTCTTTGTTTTGCGACGTTTAATCGTCTTTTTCTATCTACTAAATAAAATTACCTGAGTTTTCCAGAACTTTAACGGATCAGGCTTATAATAAGAAGGCTATTTTTTAAATGCGTTAAAAATATGCTTTTTTTTTGTAGATCAAAACAGTAACAATTTACCGAAACGTTTTTAAGAAATGGCAATCAGTTTTAAAGAAACAGCTTTTCAATCAAATACATTGAATGTTAAACTTCAACTTCACTTACTTAATTTCTCACTTTAAAAAAAAAACTTAATTTGAGTAAGTAAGATCTAAAATTATTCAAAATCTTTCGCATTCCATGTACAAGGGGCTGTCCATAAACTACGTCTTGGGATGGTATTGGGATGTCGAGTTCAGCTTCATTTCTTCCTTGTTTAGCAAGGCTGTCTGCTTCTTCGTTTCCGGTAATGCCGGAGTGCCCTGGAATCCAAATGAATGTGACGTTTTTGCCTTCTACGGATTTTTCAACAGATCGGATCCATGGATGTTTAGATCGACCACTCCGTAGGGCATCGAGACAACTAGCGGAATCCGTCAGTACGATTGTGTTTTGCTGTTTATGCAACTTTGATGCAGCAGCGTTAAGGGCAAATCCTTCTGCAGAGAAGACGCTGCAAATACCTGGTAAACAATAACTGAATTGATCGCTATTTATAACCACTCCAGCACCAGTGGAGTTGCCATCTTTAAAGCCAT